GTCTCCCTCCTCTGAATGTCAGTGGCCTTTATCCTTGCTTACTGCGCACTGTCCTGTCTACCTTGTAATACCAGACTGTGTGGACTCACCCCTCCCTTCTTCAGGGTCTCTGAACTCCCCATTTTCTCTGTGTAGAACCCTCTTCCCCAGGCTTGAAACAAATATATATTTCCTTGCCCAAACCGGTTTGGCTCAGTGGATAGAGCGTCAGCCTGCGGACTGAAAGGTCCCAGGTTCATTTCCGGTCAAGGGCATGTACCTTGGTTGCAGGCACATCCCCAGTGGGAGGTGTGCAGGAGGCAGCTGATCAATGTTTCTGTCTCATCGATGTTTCTAACTCTCTATCCTCCCTTCCTCTCTGTAAAATATCAACAAAATGTATTTTAAAAAATAAAAAGTGAGGCTCTTTTTAAAAAAAGTATTTCCTGCCGAAACCGGTTTGGCTCAGTGGATGGAGCATCGGCCTGCGGACTGGGGGGTCCCGGGTTCGATTCCGGTGAAGGCCATGTACCTGGGTTGCGGGCACATCCCCAGTGGGAGATGTGCAGGAGGCAGCTGATGGATGTTTCTCTCTTATCTATGCTTCTGGCTCTCTATCTCTCTCCCTTCCTCTCTGTAAAAAATCAATAAAATATATTTTTTTAAAAAAGTATTTCCTTGCTGTGTAATTGGAGGCATTGTATAAAGCTGGCCATTAACTGCAAGCTGGTGGCCTAGGACCATCATCCTTTCGGGAGCTTGCCTGGATGGCCCAGCCAGGCAGTGAAATGGAATAAAGAGGGCGACCGTTGTCTCAGGTCGAATGTGGCCCATGTCTTCATTTTGCCTATTTGAGAGGCCATGGGAGCAACAATTGAACCAATGCTTCACTAACCCTTGGACGATTTAAAAAATGGGAGAATCTCACCCCTATGTGTCAGGAAGGGGTGGCCTCTTGCTCAGGCCTGGAAAACCCCTCAGGGTTCCTAATCTCACACCACTCATGAGGTCTCTGTGTTCACAAAGCAAGTACTCACATCGTCTGGACTGTCTTCAGTTCAATGTCCAACCCAGCCCACATTGCTTTCTCACTAACTTTGCCTGGGTCTCTTCCACGATGGCCTGAATAGTTCAGACCTTTTCAGCTGTCCCATTCCATCAAATCTGAGACAAACCATTACTTTAAGTACCTCACAGGCAGGACTTACAGGAAGAGGAGAAACAAGGCCAGTTAAACCAGAACATGCTAACTTCAGAGATATAATAACATGATAACACGGACATCTGGGAAACTGAACGATTACATTTCTGGATTACTGAAGAGGCCACGTAGGACCATGTACATGTACAGCCCTTCCATGTGTAGGGCTCCATCAGAAAAAAAGAACGTGGTAAACCATGTAAACTTTTCAAATATTTTAATTAAAATGCATACTGTGTATTGAAGCTATAATGATGACACATGAGCGTGGAACCCTTGGTAGATAGCATTTCAACAAATATACTGAAGGGGTGACCTCTTGAACTGAATACATGGTTCTTACACAGAACTCTACGACCTACCAGACCTTTGAGCCCTGTTATGTGGCACAGTCACAATCACCGTCCTAGAAGAACACAGAGGGAAAGTGCTGAGCAGCAGAACAGGTGCCACGAGTGGTGGAAACAATGAAAAAATGTGGCCATTCATTCTCAATGGTGAGGAATAAATTATTCAAAAAACACAGGCATCAGGCTAACCACTGGGAACAAAAGTAGGTTCTTACCTTACACCATATGTTGTCAACTAACAGTGCAGCAACAATCTATGAATAATATGAATGAACCTAAACGAAGTTTATGCCATGCATTATAAAAAGAAAGATTATATCAGGTTCCAAAGGTTCTTAAGTTGGTGATTAACGATTCATGGAAACAGATACACTTGTTTCTAATGCTCAACCTACTTACAGCAAACTTTACAGAAAATAAGGTAAATCTCTATATCAACACCTCAAAATAAATGATTTACCTAAAGTCCACTTCTCAGTTGTGTGACTCCTACAGAAGTGTCACTTTGTATCTTCAGTTATCAATAAAAGAGCAACCCCAAATCCACTGGCTGGAGAAGATACTGAGCCTTTCACAGAAGAACAATCCTGAGGCGAAGTGCCTCCATGGATGGCTGGTCCAGTAGCTCAGAATCCCCTTCTGGGCCCCAGTTCTTTGTCTTTCTGCTCTGCCACACTTTAGTTATACGTCATTGTTGAGACATAACCAACCATCACTTCCCAGCAAGGCAACGTTCAATGCAAGATTCCACGTCAACCGCAGGATTCCTTGAATATTTGAGGGAACCTTTTCCAAAAATAACGTGATTGGTATCTCCTTTGTATAAGTGTCTAGTATTGGGTCCCAAGACCACCCCATTGCTGGTAATGAGAAAGGGATTATCATTACTGGTTGAAATTGATCAGGATTTACCCCCATTCCATGGATACCCAAACTCTGCAAGCAAACAGTAAGGAGCAAGTGGCAAGGGTGGTTACTCAACAATGTCTGCCACAAACCCACGTGAACATGTTCTTCAATCAGGAACAGGAAGGAGTAGAGCACAATGTTTAAAAATACTATCATATCAAAAATACACATAATTCCTAAATTATATAGAATGGTTTGCACATTTACATTTGTGTAGGCATCCAAATAAAAATAGATGAGAAATTAGATAAAAACAGGAATATTTTAAGTTCAGTTTTAAAATGTATAGACTTCAATGAATACTACAGTTTTTCTCACTACTTGTGACTTCTGGCATTAACAATTTAAAATTATCTATGCAGCTTTCTATCTATTTTATACATCATTTTCTATCTCTGCTGACTCAGATATAGTTGTGAACATTATAAAAAACACTGACTTCATTTTGGCAGTGTTTAGTTATTTAGTTCATTAACAGTAATCAAATATATTTGTAAGTGCTAGGAAAGAGTACAAGAAGAAACATACTTTATATATACCAAATATTAGTTCAATGGCAATGCATACTAAGTACTAACATGGCTGTACTATTTAAGTGGTTAATCCTACATATGTCTTAAAATTATTCCAATAATAATACACTGCCTTTTCAAACATGATTCCAAATGAACATACAATCCCTGTAATGTACCATTCTAAAAAGCAAGTTAACAAAGACCTACATGCTCAGGACACACTCCTGTATGAGTTTAATGTGGTCCTGATCAGCTATCTAGCCTTACAGCTTCTATTTACACAAGGAGTATATGTATCCACAATATATATATATTACAAAAAACTTGATGTTATATCAGAAATGTAACTTTTAGTATTAATAATTTCCAGAGGAGTGTTTTCCACATTCTGTAAAATGACAGATCTCCCCTTGGAATGAATTCCCTGATATATGAAACAGTCTGACTCCATGGAAGTGTATATACATTCTAGGTGTTCACACATTTTACAGTCTGGTATCCACAAGTCGTGTGTCTTGTTGTAGTTGGGGTTTCCACCCTGTGAATTCTTGGATTACAAGTTTGAATAATGCACCGAGGTGGGTCCACTTTCCCCTGTATGAATTCTGACTTAGCAAAGGTAGGAGTTAAATACATTACACTGAAAGGGTTCTCTGATGTAAAATGAGGTCTGACTTCAGAGAAGCCTTCCCACATCAAGTGCATTCATATTCCCTCGCCTGTGGATCCTCTGATGGCTATTGAAGGCTGATCTGTAGTAGAATTTTTTCCCACATTCATTACATTCATAGGGTTTCTCTCCTGAATGAGTTCTGTAATGTACAGTAAGGTAAGACATTCGTGAGAAGGCCTTTCCACATTCATTGCATTCAAACGGTTTCTCTCCAGAATGAATTCTATGATGTATGGTGAGATACGACATCTGAGAGAAGAATTTTCCGCATTCGTAACATTCATAGGC